TCTGAAAAGTATCATACACGTGGTTACTATGGTTTCTTTACAAAGTCTAAAATGCTTTGGTGCTTTTGCCTTTAACAGTCTGCTTGGAAACAAATGCTTCAATATTATTTATGCTGTCTAAAAAAGTTTGACCTGGATCGCGTTTTACAGCTGCGTTGTTCAGCAAATTACCATGCGAATGCGATTTGAATATGCGCTGTTTAGCACTTGTGATACATATTTAAAAGCCGGCGAATAGTCACGGGGATCGAGATAACCGATGTTAAGTGGCCCTCTTTTGTGCTCGAGATATTAGGGTTCGGCGACATAAAAGAATTGACATAACCGATGAGAAAATGCTAAGATGAAGAGAAAATTTGGCGGTTCCCTCTATACATTTGGTATATTCAAATGTATATCGAAATATCGGAAATGTGTTTTAAAATCGTATCACCGTTATTGAAAAAAATTCTATCGCGATATATATTGATATCGAATTATTGTCCAGCCCTATGATGGTGGGTAAATCTGGGCTGGCTCTTTCTTATCCTCATGACGTCTTGTGCGCATATTAAAATGGGACCGATATGTGGAGGTGGAGACTCTTTGACAACACTATAGGTTGTAAATTGAACACTATAATAGTTAATAAACATTAACATTGTAAAAACAAGACTAACTGCACACTGTAAAGTGTTAAAGGTAACACTGAATGGTGTGGACACATATAGACACCATACAGTGTTAATTTAACACTGGTACATTTGCTATGTAAATTGTTGTCAATGAGTCGCTACCTCTTCCCAGATTGCAAGCTCATATGGGTGGCACACAGGTACAAAATGGGTGGCCCATATTGTCCCAATTTAATGTGCACTCATTTGAACTCATTTGGGCATTCAGCTGCTGTGTTTTACTAACCCACCATAAAAGACTTAGACCAACATTGCCTTTTCTCATTTATGCGTGAATAAGATCATAAATAAGGTCAATCCGAATAAGAAAGAATCAGACAAGCTTACCTGAAAACTGTCTGCAGTGTAAAAGTGAATGAAATGTGTAGTACCTGTTACCAAACACAGTTTGTGAAGTTAGACTGCATGCAATAATTATTTAGCAGGCCTGAAAAAGGTGAGAGCTGTCTTAATGGTTGAAGGAGTGCATATAGTAAATATAATTGGTGGTGGCCTTATTGCTTTTAGACCTCAACTTGTGATAGAAGAACAAATCAAATCACTTTCTCCATTTAATATTCAGATTTTCATTAAGCATTTTTAGAAACCCACCACGATTGAGGATGGTATGGCACTGATATTAGTCTTTACCACAATGCATTAATGGTTTTTCTGTTTTAGTGTATGCTAATTGCTCTGAGTAGTGTATCTGTTCTTATATATGTGTTTCAGTTCTTGAGGTACATTTTGTCTGCTTTCTATGTCCCACTCTAGCCAGTGTTAAAAAGGCTAATAAGATGTTGGGTTTTCTCTAGCTGTGTGGAATTTAAGTCAAGGGAGGTGATGTTACACTTATATAATTCCTTGGTAAGACCCCACCTAGAATACTGTGTGCAGGTTTGATCACCATACCTTAAGAAGGACATTGCTGCCTTAGAAAAGGTGCAACGAAGAACTACGAGAATGATTCCTGGTCTTAGAGGAATGTCTTATGAAGAGATGTTAGCTGAGCTGAATCTGTTCAGCCTCGAGCAAAGGAGGGGACATGATCCAGGTATATACTGTAAGATTCTTACAGGTCTGGATGCTGTTCAACCAAATAGTTACTTCAATATTAGAGTTAAAAATTAGGTGAAAATTAGTGGGAGAACATTTTAAAATGGATTTGAGAAAGCACTTCTTTACACAGAGTGTAGTGATTATCTGTATCTGGTGTGTTAAATTAGGGCTGCACCTAAGCTCTGAACGGTGGTAGATCTCCAGGAGAAGGGTTGGGCAGCCGTGATATAGTGGACTGTTAACTGCCTGCAGTAGCAGAGGCTGCAGTTTCAGGACCACAAGCCCAGGACCTCAGTTTTACACGACAGCACCATCTAGGGCCAGTACACCAGGACAGGTTTGTTTAAAAAAACTAAAATGTAACGGAGCATCCTATACTTACATTCTCAATATTGTAATGATAATCATAAGAATATAATAATTAATTATGTAAATTACAAACTAATTAAAAATATAAATACTAAAGAATAATGTTTGTGTTCTATCGTGCCCTGGTGCTGCATGCTAATACTCTGCATGTGGTCCTTGGGCATCCAAATCGCTGGCCAGTGCTGTCATGCAAAAACAGGGTCCTGTATATGTGGTCCTGAAACTGTAGCCTCCGATACTCCAGGAATATAGTAAGTGGGAGGGTGAGGGCCGGGGATATAGACGGAGCTCAAGGTCTGAACAGACAGCAGTGTGGCCCTGAACAAGAGAGCGCACTGTACCAGGCTGATCAGGAAAAGTGGGTATCATGTTATAAAATTGGGATTGACTGCTAAAAGGCATAAGCGCTATTTTCGGCTTTCTTTTGCAGCCATGTGTTTCATCGCGTTTTGCAGCAAAATTTTATGATTTTTTTTTTCCAGTTGTAAACTTGTGTCGGGAAACCTAAGTTGCTCATTGGACACAAGTCAAAAATGACATTTGTCACATATAAACACTTAAATTGCGTAAACTGTAAATTCCAATGTACCTGTAGTCCTTCAAATGGCAAAAAAGATTTATCATTAAGATTTTACTACAGTTAACACAGTACACAATTTGTTACCCACCAACAACTGGAGCCGTATATAAGGAAACAAATTACATATTGAAAATATCTGATATCTAAAATCAGACCTTTCAGTTTGAAATGCTTAGTTTTGATTGGTCTAAACTGATTCAGATTTTGCCATTTCAAAGTATGTGATATTCATTGTATTGGAATTTGTATGTGTTCACAGGTTTCCAACCTACAGAACCTCAGGACGAATGCACGTATGTATAATTTCCTGACTTATTCATGGACTGTAACTTTAATTTAATAATTGGGGTTTTTAGTTAAGGAATGAGTTTAATGACATTTGGGACCATGGATCTATGGTAAAACTGCTTTTTTGTAATTAGGCCCCCAGAGACGCATACTGGAACCGCAAATGAAGACACCATTGCAGTTCAGTTTTACGCAGTTCTTCGAAAAGGTGTTAAGTACGAAAAAGGATGTGAGAAGCTGGTAATCATAAATGAGAAATCTGAAACGGCTGAGATGGACTGGTACGATTAAATATTATTTATGCCACTACACATTAACACTTTGATTTTTTCATATGAGTCAAAATCCAAAGTCAGCTTTGTCATAGTGCACAACAACAAAATGAGATAGTAGGCTCTCTTAATATAAACATCACACATAGTAATAGCAGTAAATATGTGGTAATAATGAATGAACGGGTGTAATACGTGAAAGAAATCATGTGACACTTTGTCTGTGTAGGTTCTCAGTCGTCCAGGACATGATAATCTTAAGGGTTTGAATTGAAGGCAACTGGACTTGATGGATCAAGGTGTTGGCTCAGGAACCAAGGTTTCACACCTTGATCCACACCTTGTCCCAAGTGACCCTAACAATCCATTGGACAGATAGCAGGGTGTGTCAATGATCACTTTCAATGTGATAACCCCACTAGAGGATAAATACCTGGAACTCCCCATCAGAGTTTTAGAACTGACTGAAGAAGCCTTTTGGATGAGAGGCGAAACGTTTTCAAGAAATTGAAAAAATTAAGTCCAGTTGCCTTCGATTCAAACCCTTAAGATTATGTGCTATTATGTCATCAGTTTCAGATAAAGTAAATGTCATAACTTGAGTTGAGAATCTTGTGTTATAGAATATGCTGCTGTCAGTGAAATAGAGTATGACTGCATTTAGAACACTGTAAATATATTAACAGTCTCCATTTTTCTTTTTCAGTTGGCTGCAGGATACCAATATGGGGTCATTGTTCTCTTGTACCTTTGATTTGCTGAGATCGGATATTAGCACGTACACATACAAATACTGTCTTTGTAATAAGTCGTTGGGAACAATTCAAGAAGAACGCATCACAAAAGATAAAGACAACTGGAGAATGCTAAATGTTACAAGAAATAATACTGGTATAGTACTTCAACCATTCTACATAATCAATGTTTTTTATAAATGCAGTAAGCAAAACATCAAGGATCCCGAGGACCTGCTGAACATGCTCCTGAAGGATGCTGGTCCAAACCGACTCCAGTACTTCCCGCAACCAATGCTGAGCTTCGCAATTACTGACAGACTTAATCCAACTTGCCCAGCACCCACTATAAAGCTCTGCTCAAAGGCGTCTATGTATTTTTTTTCTCAAGCCTTAAATAACCCTCTTTGAACTGTCTCCTTCCCTTTGAAGATTATTTAACATCCATAATGTTTTATACACTGTCTGTTCTAATGTGTTGATTATGTACCTCAATTCCTCCTTCATAATTTATTTCTCTAGGTTCAGTTCATCAGCAGTTTGATGACATCTGCATGAAATCAAACTTACATTACATTTCAAATAAACAAACTGACATTAAAGGAATACGTCCAAAGTTCCTTCAAGTGGTATTTCATGAAATACTTAAATATTCTAACATTATTATATTAAAATGCACTGAAGAGGACATAAAAAACATTATAGAGAAAATGAAAAATCTTTATGTCAGCATTCAAATGAAAAGGATATATACCTCAAACACCAGGAAGGAACATGAGATTATAAATGAAGAGGTAATATCAATGGGTTATGAACATTGAAATCTGAAATGCAGTGCTGTTTTATAGCCTGAAGGTTTTTGTAAATGGTTAACTGAATTTCTTCTGTGACCATAAATCAATATTTAACATTATTTAACATTCTGTTAAATTAACAGTCTTAATAAAACATGGTAGTTTTTTAAACTTGTGTTTACTTTAAATATATATTCATAAATTAAATGCTTACATATAGTACCTCATTCATTTGCAAATACTGATGCATTTATACCAACAGAAATCACATATATAAATACAGTGTATTACAACATATCTTTTGTGCATTTGTGCTAGGTTAAAGAGACTTTTGATAAAGAATTAAAGGAAACAATTAAGAGTTTCCGAGAAAATGAACCACTTGAGTGTGTTTTGACAACAGCGATGCTTGTGGAATTGTGGAATGTATCTCTGACAGGAGATTCACTGGACAAACTTTGCAGAATTATACAAATGAACTCTGGTGATCTTGTAATGGCTCTGCAAGACCTCGACACCCCAGTCAAAAAGTTTGTGAATGTTTGTTTTGTGCAAATTGCTATAAATTTAGGCCTAAAACAAACTTAGAACGTTGTGGCTGAAAGTGCTGCCTTATTTACAAAAATGATTATATAAAATACTGTTCTATTGTCACAGTGTGTTATTTAAACAAAAGAATCATTCTATAATTTATTTCTCAATAGGGATTACCTAAAATGTTTTTTATACTTCTAGAGAGATTTGTCGTGCTGTTATGAAGTTGCTCCAAGCTGCCTGTACCGAGAAGAATGCAACTGCAGCCATATGGTTTCTGCCCATGCTTTATGTATTACTGCCTGCTGATGAGGATGCCAGGCATGAACAAACTCCCAGCCTAGAATGGCTATCAGGCTGCCCAGAAGCACAAAAGTGAGTAAAATATTCCTTCTTTGCACGTACATGATGACATTTTTACTGTATGTAATGTACCCTGTGATAAAGCTGTTGGAAGATGGATGGATGTATATAATGGCATTTATTAAAAATGAATTTGACCTGTAAAGATAGGTACTTTTATTTTGTTTCACCATTAAGTTTTTAATATTTTCCAGGGAACTCTTGAAGATTCTGGATATCTATGGCAAGAAGATAAAGCATAAAACATTTGCGTTTCACATTTTGGACATGTTCTCTGTGAAAAAGGGAAATCCCGAGCTCTTAAGGAGTTTAGACATATCTCCACTTGAACTCTTCCCTTACCTAGTCAAATGGCAAAAGCTTTTCTCATTAAAGGTAAGGGATGACTTGCAGAATCAAGTAGTACATTACCCCATTGACACAACTATAATATAATACATACTAAGCATAAGAATGAGTGAGAGATTCTTCATAGACCTTAAACACTGTGTGAAGAAGCTTATAGAGGGTAAACATACAGGCATTTCTATTTTTGAATAAATAGGGTATCCATTATAGAAACTACAAACAATACTTGGACGTAGGAAGTTAATGTTTCCTTGCTAATATGTCATGTAATTATTAGTTCATAATTTTCTCTATTTCCATCTTATATCTCGGTACATCATTGCATATTATTATCAAAACAACTAAAGCTCCTAATGTTTATTTCATAGTACATGTTCATTTGTGACATTATTTAGTTTGCTGTGTTTTTGCTTTTTTAAATAGATATTTCCTTCAATAGTACGGATTGTTGCTGATTTAACCAAGAATTGGTTGACAGAGAGGTAATGCTGTTACTTTTAATAAAGTTAAATAAAATATGCAGCATGACTTATATAATTATTTATATGACTTATATATGACTTGAAGGATATGAAAATAATATGTATTTTACAATTATTTTTAAGGCATGAGAAAAGCGGCACTTCAGAACCAGAAATCATGATTCCTTTCAGATCCACAATACATGTCATTTGCATTTCAATGAAAGTACCTGAGTTTAAGAGCGACATACAGAACACTGTATCATCACTGTCTCTCCTCAATGCCTTCAGTGGACACGTGGAACCTCAGCAGCAAACTGAGGTAAGAAAGTTGTAGCCTTTTCCATATTCAACCTCCAAACATTTGCTTCAGCAAAAAACAACTGGAATCTTAATCAGCATGATTTTTATGTTGTTCTTTGTATTAGTCATGCAACTATATTGTAACAAAGATCACAGTAGGAATGAACTGCAATGCTTATTACCTGATTCAGATGTTTCCTTTTAAAGCTGCTGTCTCAAACAACTTTTGTTGGTATTATAGGGACCATAAATATACCATATTTGTTGCTTTTTATCCAATAAAAATAAATTTGAAAAAAATCTAAATTGTAAAATGTCATTTCCTCCAAAGACAAATAACCTAAATTGAAGGACACTTTTTTCCTTGGGTCTCAGGAGGTTATTAATGGATAATGCAAGGCTTGGCGTGCATTAAGCCACTTATACCACGGTTACCACCTGGGTAATGGGAGATCTGTGGCTTAGAACATAACACTGTCGAAAAGCATAAAATTCAGTCTGCCTGTTCCACTCAAAACGCATTACCTGTGTGTCCATTTCGGCCCTGAACTAGGGCTGGGCGATATCAAATCGCGATTAAATCGCGCATGCGCAATAATCACTAGGGCTTCAGATGNTACTGTATGTAATGTACCCTGTGATAAAGCTGTTGGAAGATGGATGGATGTATATAATGGCATTTATTAAAAATGAATTTGACCTGTAAAGATAGGTACTTTTATTTTGTTTCACCATTAAGTTTTTAATATTTTCCAGGGAACTCTTGAAGATTCTGGATATCTTTGGCAAGAAGATAAAGCATAAAACATTTGCGTTTCACATTTTGGACATGTTCTCTGTGAAAAAGGGAAATCCCGAGCTCTTAAGGAGTTTAGACATATCTCCACTTGAACTCTTCCCTTACCTAGTCAAATGGCAAAAGCTTTTCTCATTAAAGGTAAGGGATGACTTGCAGAATCAAGTAGTACATTACCCCATTGACACAACTATAATATAATACTTACTAAGCATAAGAATGAGTGAGAGATTCTTCATAGACCTTAAACACTGTGTGAAGAAGCTTATAGAGGGTAAACATACATGCATTTCTATTTTTGAATAAATAGGGTATCCATTATAGAAACTACAAACAATACTTGGACGTAGGAAGTTAATGTTTCCTTGCTAATATGTCATGTAATTATTAGTTCATAATTTTCTCTATTTCCATCTTATATCTCGGTACATCATTGCATATTATTATCAAAACAACTAAAGCTCCTAATGTTTATTTCATAGTACATGTTCATTTGTGACATTATTTAGTTTGCTGTGTTTTTGCTTTTTTAAATAGATATTTCCTTCAATAGTACGGATTGTTGCTGATTTAACCAAGAATTGGTTGACAGAGAGGTAATGCTGTTACTTTTAATAAAGTTAAATAAAATATGCAGCATGACTTATATAATTATTTATATGACTTATATATGACTTGAAGGATATGAAAATAATATGTATTTTACAATTATTTTTAAGGCATGAGAAAAGCGGCACTTCAGAACCAGAAATCATGATTCCTTTCAGATCCACAATACATGTCATTTGCATTTCAATGAAAGTACCTGAGTTTAAGAGCGACATACAGAACACTGTATCATCACTGTCTCTCCTCAATGCCTTCAGTGGACACGTGGAACCTCAGCAGCAAACTGAGGTAAGAAAGTTGTAGCCTTTTCCATATTCAACCTCCAAACATTTGCTTCAGCAAAAAACAACTGGAATCTTAATCAGCATGATTTTTATGTTGTTCTTTGTATTAGTCATGCAACTATATTGTAACAAAGATCACAGTAGGAATGAATTGTAATGCTTATTAACTCATTAACTCAAAGGTATCCTTTTAAAGCTGCTGTCTCAAACAACTTTTGTTAGTATTATAGGGACCATACAAATACATTATTTATTGCTTTTTATCCAATATGGGCTGTCACAAGAAATTGTGTAACCGACAATTTTACCACAACTCAGAGTAAGGGATAATGCATGACTTGGACTGCATTAAGCCACTTATACCACGGTAACCACACTATAAAAAAGGATACACCACATCTAATTAATAAAATTAAGGCAACAGATTACAAACGATATAATTAATTAAATATAACTACACAGCAAATGTGCCAGTGTTAAATTAACACTGCATGGTGTCTATATGTGTCCACACCATTCAGTGTTACCTTTAACACTTTACAGTGTGCAGTGAGTGTTGTTTTTACATTGTTAATGTTTATTAACTCTTATAGTGTTCAATTTACAACCTAGAGTGTTGTCAAAGAGTCTCCACCTCCACATATCTGCCCCATTTTAATATGCGCACAAGACGTCATGAGGATCAGAAGAGCCAGCCCAGATTTACCCACCATCATGAGAAAGACTCTGAACAAACAGGACCTTACAGCTTTTTCGTGTTTTATATTAAACCCTTGCTGGCCTGGTTCTGACTGGTCTTATGACGTGTTGCTTTTGAGTCAGATGAAAAGCTTTTGGAAATATTCAGACTATGTCTCCAGAGTGGTATTTATTTTAATGGTATTTTTGACTGCCAGTCCTTGGATGGTTAACATATATGAAAACGTGTTAGGATAATTGTGATACCCTTTTCTGTGCAGTTCCTGGTACCACCCACTCTCCTGTAGGCCAATGGTGCTGGATGTATATTTGCATAGCATGACACAGTACTGTTTTTGACTATTTTTTAATCCACCACGATTGTGATGAATTAGGCAAGAGAACAAAAACCACAGAAATGGCTTTTGCATGCTAGCCAGGGCCCAGGTAGGATGGTTTAGCCTCCATGGCTTAGATAGAGAATGTATTGGCTGGGAGGAAAATGCTAGAAAACCAATCCTTTTGTTCTTTTTCTAAGCCTGGGCTCTTCATAAAGATCATTTGTACCATATGTACCTCTACAGTTGAGATTTCTTTACATAAAAATGAATTAGAAAGACCACACTGCTCAGACCAATACCAATACGCCATACCATCCTCGATCGTGGTGGGTTTCTAAAAATTAAGCTTAATGAAAATCTTAATATTCAATGAGCAAAGTGATTTGATTTGTTCTATCGCAAGTTGTGGTCTAAAAGCAATGAGGCCAGCACCCATTATATCTGCTTCAGCAGAAATACACTCCTTCCATCATTAAGATAGCTTTCACCTTTTTCAGCCCTGCTAAATAATTATGATACATAGTCTAACTTCGTAATCTGTGTTTGATCAAGCATTTCACACACTTTTACACCACAGGCAGTTCTTAGCACAGTTCTTTGGTTATTAAGAGCTGAACTAAAACACAACTGATATAAAAAGAGAAAAGGCTATGTTGGCCTGAGTCTTTCCTATTATGGTGGGTTAGTAAAATACAGCAGCTGAATGCCCAAATGAGTTCAAATGAGAGTACATTAAAACAGGGCAGATATGGGCCACCCATTTTGTACTTGTGTGCCACCCATATGGGCTTGCAATCTGGGAAGAGTTGGAGACTCATTGACTTAACACTCTAGGTTGTAAATTGAACACTATAAGAGTTAATAAATATTAACACTGTAAAACAACACTCACTGCACACTGTAAAGTGTTAAAGGTAACACTGAATGGAATGGACCAATATAGACACCATGCAGTGTTAATTGAACACTGGCACATTTGCTGTGCAGCAGAGATGCAGACCTATCTTTTTTTGCATTTTGAGCCCTTTCGCTATGTGGCTAAATCTTATTAATATTTATGAAAAGAAGCAATCTGAGGTGTAATGAGATATTAATTCAGAATTATGAGTTGATTGTGACACACACCACTTGGTTTTCTAGATTACTTTCTGGATAAATTTAAATAAATATTTAAATGTTCACATGTTCAATTCATGTTAAACAACTGGTGTAGAACGGACACAGTTGAATTATTAATAAAGATGTATAGAAATACTGTACATAATCTGAAAATCAAGTGGAGTGCCTCTGTAGTTCATTGCTACACCACACTTCACATCTTATAAGATTGTAGTGATTGGTCCATTTATTCTATACATTTTCACTTTATATGGTGTAATTATAAATGAACATGGATGTCACGCTCCTAAAATATGTTAAAATTTTTGTCGTCTTCCTCAGCCACATACCTACGCTGAGTGTGGGCATGTATATGTCACATTGTAGGAACCAAATGTCCCCCACAATGTGATAAAAACCTTTTTTTTGACCTTGTGGGGACATTTTTCTGGACCCCACAAGGAGAAACTCAAATTTATTAAAATCTGTGAATGAACTTTAGGGCTGGGTAAGTTTAAGGTTGTCATGTTTGGAATTAGGGTTATGCCTATAGAAATGTTTTCTGGGTGCTGGTGTCCTCATGTCAATAAATATGTCCATTCATTTCATTGTGTGCACTGAACCGAAAATGACGCACCAAATGTTATTCGGATATGTGTAACAGCTCTACTTCAAGGTGTGATGCATAGGCATAAGACATGAAATTAGGTGAAATGTAATGGTCACAAGTAACAAGTGTAACGCAATGCATATCTTTCACATGAAAGTCCTCATTACTTTTGCTATTCCAGGAGTTTAAACATCTCACCCAAACCAAATTTCAAGAAATTCGAAAAGGTTTGGCAGAATGCATTAGCAGATGGTCAGAAAATCACGTCCATCTTAAAGTAAGTTTAATCTTTTAATTCTCTTTTCAGTTGGAAGTATGGCATACTTATTTAATTATATACATTTACAACTTTGCTTCATATGATATCAAAATAGATTTTAATTGGGACATATTGTATAGCCAAACCAAAGAACCAAATCATTGACTTCTAATTATTGGAGATGCCAATCTGTTTGTGTGAAGAATAAGAGAAATGTCTTATTGCATAATTTTGTGATGCATTATTTATAGCATCATTCATGTATGTAATGAATCAAATATCTATTGCAGAAAATTATTTTTTGTGCTTATTTTTTTTAATGTAGGACTGGAGGCCAATTTTTGACCTTCCCCTCCCTGATCATTGGCAACAAATGTGGGTGGAGACCCTGAAGGAACTTTTCATGAAGAGGGTTCGACAGGTATGTGGTGAAAATGTTTCCTATATTTTATATGGCTGGAATACAACAAACAGGGTTGTAGAGAATATTTTTGCATGGAGAGCAAGGCAGATGTCATATTTAAGTGAAAATGATTTGTTGACAGACCATATTAATCATATATGTATCCATAAATTAAAGGATGTCTTTATCTGAAAGAGGCTATACATTAATCCATTAGTCTTCTTCGGTAAGTTTATATAGACCTCAGTTAGGCTACCAAAAGCAACACAATAACAGCTAACCTAGCCTGGCTATATCTGCCATTAAAATATCAGTCATTTCATGATTATTCATGTTATTTTGGTTTTGGATTGTAACATGTATTTGTGAATAAGTAAGATAGAAGTAAGAAAAGATACATTTGAAGCAAAGTTTTAATTTATCCATAAACGTTTCATTTTAGACACAAAGTTAAATGTGTATGCACTGTCCACTGCAAAAAAGGTTCTCCAGTTCCACCTGACACGATATCTTACATGTTATTGTTGTATTCTTTGCACCATCCGTATGTTGTTCACTTGACACAGAACCATTTATCTATTCTATATTTCACACAATGTTTTGAGGTAAACAAAGGGGCTTTGAACACAAGTGTTCCAATAACACATCCATACTACCGTATGGCCGTCACTGCTCCCACACCTTAGGGTGAGGAGTCATATGCAATTATACTGTAACTGGGAGAGGTAGGTCATAATGGGCCAGAACACTCTTGCTGTAACAAATTGCGGTAAAAAAACAACAGTGAAATTATTACAGTAACATACTCTATAACACTTTTACAGTATGCAGTGAGTGTTGTTTTTGCAGTGTTAATATTTATTAATAATTCCATTCATTATCATAATCGCTTAATCCCAACCTGGATTGAGGGAGGGCCTATCCCGGGAACAAACGGTGCAAGCGGGAAGCAACCTTGAGTGGACGCCAACACACAACAGTCGTTAATAATTAATTATTAACATTATTATTAGGACCCTGGGTGATCTGGAGAGATTCTGTACAGAGGAATGGTCTCAGATGCCCTGCTCTGTATTCTCCAACCTAATAAAATGTTATAGAAGACTCACTGCTGTTATACTGGCAAAGGGAGGTTGTACAAAGTACATGTCAATAATCACGGTACACGTATTTTTGTAAAAATAATTATTTCTTATTGAAGGATTTCTTTTTCTTTGAATAAATTTATTTCAATGAAACGTTGGATTTTTTTCATTTTTTCATTGTGAGATGAAGCTACTTCAGTAAAAGGTGCATTTTTTCTAACCATTTCTACAAATCTTTACAAGGGATGGCAATAATAATGAAGCGTGCTGTAGTTTTGTAACGACTAGGCCAAGACAATCAAACTAATCTCTCAGCAGGAGTGTCAGTATTAAGGCAGTGCTCACTGACAGATTATGAAGCTTGATAGACTGCATAACATAATTGATTAGCAGGGCTCAGAGAAGGTGAGAGCTCCCCTAGTGGCTACAGGAGTGTATATTCCCTAAAGCAGATATAATGGGTTTTGGCTTCATTACTTTTATACCACAACTTGGGATAAAAGAACAAATCAAATCAGTTTGCACATTTAATTTGCAAGTTTTCATTAAACTTAATTTTTAGAAACCAAAGCATGTTAGGTCTTCCGAGTGTTTTGAGTTGCCTACATTGTTGTATGTTAGTTGTTTTGAGATGTGGTTCTTATATGAATGCAGCTTCAAAGAAATCACTTTGATGGGTAAGGTTCAGATGATTTTTCTAGAAGGGGTTTAAGCTTGAAAAAGTAACAAAATAGTCAGTTTTCCATAACATTTTTCTCACAACCATTGTATTTTTCATTGGCTTCATCATGCTTCTCATGACTTCTTGTGTGAAAATTAAAATGGGGCAGATATGGGCCACCCATGTTGGTTTCCAATCTGGTAAGAGGTGGAGTCACAATGATTTAACACTCCAAGTTGTCAATTGAACATTATAAGAGTTAATAAAGATTAACACTGTAAAAACAACACTCATGGCACTCTGTAAAGCTGGGTGGCCACATTCAAGAAAACTGCTTCAACTTCATGCTAGTAGAGATGCTTATGTCATTCCCAAAACCAATTTGCATCAGATGCTGAAAAGGGCCCTTTAATTGGCACTGGGCAAATTATTTGCTAAACTTGGGTTTACTTTACTGATAAAAAAATAAATTTACCCAAAATGAGTGAGTGCAAAAATGTTGCCTTAATTATTTTGAGTAAATCTTAGAGGTTATTTTTTCAGTGTGGTATTATAATAGTAACATATTGTAAAGCAGATAGATGAACTGTAAAACTGATAGTAAACTACTAGCGACCAAAACTGCCAGTATTTTACTGTCATTTTACAGGGAATTTTCTTAGAGTGTGCTGTTGACGAATGTCGGTATAATGACACATCGGGTTGATGTATAGCAGAACACTTTCATATTTATAACGTACTGTGAATATTATGAGCTATATTGGATTGTGTGCCCACCCACTTTTATTCTGGCCCATCTGCAATTTCATTTCTGGCTATGTCACTGCCTATCATACTTTTATTATAATGCTATCATTTTTTATTGTATTTTACAGATGAAGCCTTTGCAGCAAGTACAACTTTGCCGTAAAAACTTATCAGAGATTCCAGTACTAGATGACTGTCTTTTGAAATGTGCCACCACAGCAATCAGAGACCTTGTGAACGAAACAACTGCTCACTCACCAATGGCAAGTAGTGGTCGAGGGTTAAAGCTATTTTCATTTTTTAAATTAATGCCTAATATTTCTTTCCATATTGAGGTATTATTCTTTTTTAAAGTTTATGTTTTTGTTCATAATTCCCAGCACTTAGATCAATTATTGAGGTTAGAGTCAACTTTCAGTTTATGAGATCTTTATCTCCAAGCTTACAACACAAATAAGATACTAGTTCTGTAATATCACTGTGCTTGTTTCTGATTTATGGCACCATTATAAATCAACGAAAAAATACTCAGTTGTTGCTTGAACATATTGCTGCTTAAACAGGATTATTTGGAGGAAGTGTCAAGATGCAAGAAATTAATGTCGGTGACTGTCATGGAAATACTAGGACCTCTGCAATCAAATAACAAGGACTGGCTGTACCTTCTCAGTAATTCTCAGTGCAGAAATCTTTTGATTGTTTTGAGTAAGTTTGTTTAATTTTAATATTAATAAGTCACTGTCTAATAAATAGTATTTATCAAACTCAGAAAGTTTAAACATTTATATTTATCAAACAGCATTTCCTGAACTATTATTTTAATTTTTAAGTTACTTATTCTACTGCACAGCTTCTACATAGTAATCTTTCAATTGTTGCAGTTACACGTACAATTGTTACGGTTTCAATTTTAACAGGTACTTCACACAAAAATAATTTTCTTAGGAAAATTGGTTTAATTTCTATTTTATAGATAAATGTCAAAAAGAAGATTCCTGCTACAATGAAAAACTAGATCAAGCCAAGAAATTGATTGAAATTGCAGAAAAAGAAATGAAAACATTACTGATTCACATTAAGAAAAATTCAGTGGCATCCAAAGTGGTGTATCATATTCTAAAAGATAATGATGCTGACAAATTATGTCAGTTGTTTGTTGGTAAGTATTTTACACTGATACATTAATGATAGACTAAATTCATGTAATAATGGTTGATGTGTTGTACTGTGGCTGATTCTCAGAGCAGGGAGATATGACACAGGTAAAAGGAGTCAAAGAAGTAGTATTTTTGTTTATTAAGACAAAATACATCCAGTACCTTTAAGTAATAAATGAGAAAAAGAGAGTTCAAACCTGTGTCTATGCATCCCATAAGCAATAAGGAGGAACGCATATGCCAGTAACATTAAATAGTGAGATGTTTAATTTTTCCCTTTTTCCTTACTGCCTTCCTAAATATGTGTTTGACAGAAAAGAATGAGGAAAATAACTTCAAGAAGGCCCTGGAATCAGCCAGAAAAGACTTAAATTTCCTCGAACAGCAGCAAAAACAAATTAAGGGTCTAATTTTCCTCTGTGACCACATTGCTGCTATACTCACAGGTATGATTATTGGAAGCTATGCAAATGTAGACTTAATTATTTGAAATGCAATTCATCATATGACAAAACCTATTGTTTGTTTTCCAGTTGATGTTAGCTACCTACGACAATGCCAGAACATCGATTTCTCTAAAGAAGAACATTCTTTATGCTTTTTCTGAGTTCCAAATGCTTGGGAACATTGAAGTTGCATCGCAAAGTACATACTTTAAAGCCATCTGGTTAGAAAAGACACGACAGGCAAAGAAGACAGAATTTGAAAATATTTCATCCATCTCAGTGAATGATGTTCTTGAAAAAATTTACAAGCCTGTGTATGAAGCCATCAGTGTGTCTTACAAACACCTCAAAGAATTATCAATGCCATTATCAGACTTAGAATGTCAGATAAGCGGACTGACAGAGCCTGAGCTAGAAATGTTTGGGATGATTTGCAGTGAGGATACTGACCATGCTTGGATGAGAAGGACGGCGGATCACATCAAACGCTACAGAGAGCTATGTCATGTTAAGGAGCATGCAGAGCTGTTAATGCAATTTAAGAATGACTTCAATTTGAAAGGAGATTTCAGCAACGTGGAAAATATCTGTGTATGCAACCATTTTAATGATACCGCTACTGTATTTTTTGTGTAGTATTCTCAAATTTTGTATGCATATTGCATTTATTATTACTTCTTTCACTATAGTACATACTTTATAATCAGAATTTTTCATCTTAAATATCTTTTAGTGTATGAACAAAAAAGAGAGAACGTTGAAGGATGTTACTCGTGACATGGAAAATACTGCCGTCTCTTTGGAAAATATCCCCCAATCATTCCTTAAAGAATTACAAATTTGCACCACGAATGGTTTCATCAAGTGGATTAAGACTGTCATCAAAGGTAAAACCCACAATTTTAGTCTTGTTTGATCATATATTTTTATCTTAATTATAAAACTGATACAATCCCTTAAGAACCACTGTGAATTTTCTGACAATTCTTCTATGTATATTATGCACTATTTCAGTAAGAACACTATTGTTAGTTATTTGTTTGTTTAGTTACTTGTAAGGAAAGTCTTCAATACAGTCACAGTATTGAGTGTTGTTTAATCTTATAATTTTTTTATGCAACTATTAATTAATTCATTTTAGATTGGTTTGTACTTTTTTTGCCATTTGTACACTTATTCAAGGAGTAATTAGGTTAGCTATTTTAAAAAGTAACAGTAAAAGAGGTTCCTTTGGTGAAAAAAAAATGTATTTCTTTTGTTTTCTGCAGACATAAGAGAACTTCCTGTGTTTGTTGACGTTGCTTCAATCTCTGCTGGGGAAAATAACATGGATATAGATAAAGTGTGTGATTTTAGAGATGCAGTCTTGGCCTCTTCATCAATCATTTATGATTTGAATGAGACTGCTGGGTTCAGTGAATTAATGGATGCAATTGAGAAGCTAAACAAGTCCCTCGAGAATGACCAAAATCTTCAACAAAAACTGGTACATTCAGTTTGATAACTTGTCTGTTGTTGTGCAATATTAAGATTTATGATGAGAAACTATAAAATACAATTCTCACAGATTACTTCATTACAGACGTACAGACTTCTTCAGAAGATGTGTAGCTTAGCGCATTGGTGGTCTGTGCTGATATCTGGAGTTAGCAGAGTAACCATGTGCCTGTTGAGATCTTGAACAAGGCCCTTAACCCTAACTGCTCAAAGGCTGCTTAATGTTAGGGCTGGGAAATGAATCGGATTTGAATTTAAGTCACGATAAAATGATTATTGTGCCTCAATTTGTTTCACAGTGATGCTCCCAACCTAGTGCACTCCTTTCCATCCATTTTCATTTGATTATTAGATGAAGTTCAAGGAAATCAACTATTAAAAAGACCAAAGACCAAAAAAAAGACCAAAGTTCAATAAATGCATGATTTTTCCAACATCAATAAGTAGTCATATTAAATAATTGTGACCACAGTATTGACCCAAATAATCGAGATTATGATTTTTGCCACTGGTGGCCTAATGGTTGGGGAAGCGCACTTGCCCACTGCTGTGTCTTGATGTCACATATGGGTTGAATACAGAGGACACATTTTGTTAATGTGATGTGGTGTATCAACAATGACAATGACGTTCACTAATTTACTAATAGAGCAGCCCTACTCATTGTGATCCTTTGGCCTGGGTGACTTTCCTTGGTGCTTGACTGACCACACCACTAAACTATATTTTCTTGGTGCGTTTTACCATAATTAAACTATGGCTTCTATGTTAGTGCACACTGTTGGATTGAAATGGATTTTAATACATGCTGAGTTAATTTCTGTACAGAAGTACAGTGGTACCTCAGAACTCGAACTTAATCCGTTAAGAACTCGGGTTCGAATCCTAAAAAGTTCGAGTTCTGATCAAATTTTCCCCATAAGAAATAATGGAAAACCAATTAACTGGTTCCCAGTAGAGTTTAGATTCTCTGCCCGAGCCCGAGCCCAGACCCGACCCGACCCGACCCGTGGGCCGGGTCGGGCCGATATTTCCTGCCACTATCTTCGGGCCGGGCCGGGCCGGGCCGGGCTGGGCGGGGCCATGATCAAGCATTTGTGTGTGGTTTTTTTTTTTTTAAATCATTACTTAATTAGCCTAATTGGGTGGAGAGCTATGCCATAATTATAAATGTAGCTCCCTCCCGTAAGACACGAGCACAAGAGTCCTTTGCATTTAACTGAGCCGACGGTTTATTCGAAAGACAGTGGCTTCGTTATTATCACCATCATGGCAGACGTGAGAACTAAATACAGATACAGAAACACAAAATCAAGCACATTTACTTACAATATTAGCTAACAAACATTGAAATTCAAATGAAATATAAACATAAATAACAATAAAGACAGCTTAGAGAATTCATATACAGTTAACACGAACCTCAGTTAGCATTTACATTTACATGGCTAAATACAACAAACTTAACTAAAACTTAATTAACACATACCTCGTTGGCTGCTTACGGAAGGATTTAACCTTTTTCTTAACCCTTTACTTAAAGTTCGATGCCGAGCACACAAACTGGTTCCAGCAGCAAGCGAACTGGATAAGTGAAAACGTGCTTTTCTTCTAAACGTGTCTCAAAAATCCATTCTGAATAAACAAACAATGCAGTTTACATGCTTCGTCCTTGTTGCATTTTTCATTAAGATAAATCTAAACTAATTTCTGTAGTTCAAACAACCTAGAATTGTAGTTGAGAACGTCTGTTACAACGGCTCACGTATTAAAAAATAGTCGGGTTTAAATCGGGCTCGGGCTCATAATTACAGTTAATGTGTCGGACCGGGTCGGGCTCGGACACAAGGTGCACGGGCTCGGGTAGGGTCGGGTTTAATTTTTTGGGCCCGATCTAAGCTCTAGTTCCCAGCCACAAAAAAATACACCAAAAATGTATTTTTTTAGAATTTAAAGACAAAATAAACAGGATAAAACAAGAAGAGCATATACTAAACACATCTAAGCACATTTTTTGACTACCAATAAAAGAATAACCTGAAAATTACCAGTCTTAATTTTTCGCAAACACTGGGCCTACACTGTACGCTGTGTGTAACATTTTTTTCCTAATGGCTTCCAAAACGATAAAGAATGTACCCCATCACTACCCCAAGCCATGCCCCAACACTGCGCCAACACTAGACTATGCCAATGCGATCCATTGTTTATTTATTATTACTCTGTATTTGTTAATTTGTTCGTAAATCGCAAACGTTTAGGTTGTAACATTTGTACACAGCAAATATGCCAGTGTTAAATTAACACTGCATGGTGTTTATATGGGTCCACACCATTCAGTGTTACCTGTGAGTGAGTGTTGTTTTTACAGTGTTAATCTTTATTAACACTTATAGTGTTCAATTTAAACCATAAGGTGTTAAGTCAATGAGTCTCCATCTCCACATATCTACCCCATTTTAATATGTGCACAAGAAGTCATGAGGATCAGAAGAGCCATCCCAGATTTACCCACCATCATTAGAAAGACTCTGACCTATAAAGACCTTACAGCTTTTTCTTGTTTTATATTGAAGTATTCTTGGCTCAGTTCTGATTTATCTTGATAATTAGTGCACTATGATCTTGGTGGTTTTTTTATGATATGTGGTTTTATAACAAGCTGATGTTGAATCAGAGACAAGTATCCAGAGTGGTATATATTTTAATGGTTTGGGGGTGTATTTGAGTGCCAGCCCTGCACTTGGACGATTAACAGATGCGGAAGTAGTTGATACCCCTTTCGGTGTAGTGCCTGGTACCGCCCACTCCCCTGTAGACCAATGGTGCAGGATGTATATTTGCATAGCATGACACAGTACTGATTGGACTTAAGATTTTTTTTAAAAAATCCACCGCGATTGTGATGAATAGGGAAAGAGAACAAAAACCACCAAAATGGTTCACGTGTGCTATTCAGTGACTCATCAAAATGATTTAGTCATCATGATTTACCTGGAGTAGGTGAAAATGCTATGGAAAACCAATTCTTTTGTTTCTCTTTTTCCGTATGTACTTCTTTGTTGAGATTTGATAAGAACAATGACATCACTCAGGCCAAATAGTATAGTTTTATATGGTTGTAGCATATCAAGTCTATAAAGTAAATTAAAGTATAAAAGCCTATGAAGTAAATATTGGTAATCAAATAAATTCATTTTGTCATTCAAAGTAGGTCTAATAGGATTTTTTAAATTTCACGTAACGCTGTCAGTGAAATTTTATTTTATAGAGACGCAGCAGCAGCATCAATAGAAAAAAAATTGAGGAATTTAAAACGTGGATGCTTAGCCTGTATATTCTTTAGGCTATTAAGCCCACTGATTCCTTAATTTTTAAGCCTATTTTTGTGTGGAATGCCATTGCCAAACCTGTCCGTTGTTGCTTATATGTTGCTTAAAAATAATTATTTTCTGAGTGGCAATGTTGCCGTTACTCATATTTCTTTTTGATATAAGGCTTCGGTTTAAGGTGACATTTGTTAGGCATACAGATTATTTGTCCCTCTTTTAAATTGGAGCGAGCGTGGAGCGATTTGACTGAAGCGGGAGGAAATTTTAGTGGAGTGAGGAGCGGTGTTGAGCGGAGCGGCTTAGTGCGATTTAGAGCGGAGAAGCGGGCGGAACCAACAGCCTCGTGAGCTCCACTCCGCTCACATGCTCTGATACAAAGCCTCATTAATAATTTAGCCATACTAAGCTGCTTAAATTGTGGGCGTAAATAAATGTCCGTATAGCACAGAAAAGCTGGCGCACTGCCAAATGTTGCGCCTGTCATCTGAAGCACTAGTGATTACTGCGCATGCGTGATATAATACCGGTATGATATCGCCCAGCCCTACCCCAGATCATTTATTTTACTATCATGTTTTATTCATTATATGTATAATGTTTAATGTGCTTTTGTTATCATGAGTTCAATACAAAACAATATTCTTGAGTTAATATGAATGAACAGAACCATCAAAATGCGTAAACAGCACTAATAAAAATTAATCAAATTGTCCATATCACTGATAAATAGTTGAGTAATAATCATCTGCATTTATCAGTGCATTGATTAGAAGTTACTCATTGCGGTCATTAAAATCTAAATATTCTTTACTCTTGGGAATAACAAACTTAAGCATTTATGAAGAACTCCTCTTTATTTTAAATGTTGCCAAGACAATCTAAAAATGTATAAAGTACACAGCAAATGTGCCAGTGCTAAATTAACACTGCATGGTGTCTATATGTGTCCACACCATTCAGTGTTACCTTTAACACTTTACAGTGTGCAGTGAGTGTTGTTTTTACAATGTTAATGTTTATTAACTTTTATAGTGTTCAATTTACAACCTAGAGTGTTAGAACAATGAGTCTCCACCTCATCCAAAGTTGCAAGCCCATATGGGTGGCACACAAGTACAAAATGGGTGGCCCGTATCTGCCCTATTTTAATGTACTCTCACTACAGGAGTTAATAAATATTAACATTGTAAAAACAACACTTACTGCGCTGAATGGTGTGGACCCATATAAACTCCATGCAGTGTTAATTTAACACTGGCACATTTGCTGTGTACAACTATTGCGTAACTTTTTGGTGAGCAGTGGCTACCAAAATGAAATCAAGTACAGTGTATTACCTAATATTTTCAATAAAAAAGCACTTTCACCAACAACTGATGCTATCACAGCGAATGCGAGGCTGAGACTGAAACGTTACCCTTTGTTTCCACTGAGAGACGTGCTGCGTGACTCATTTCCCTGCATGTACAAGTTAGGTTGGTGTTCACGGTTCGACTTTTGAGATTCGAGTTCTAGGTAATTTTTTTTCGAACTGGTTGGTTTGACTTTTAAGAGATTTGAGTTCTAATGAGTTTGAGTACTGAGGTACCACTGCACCTGCCCAACAAGGAAGTTGCACTGCCTCATGTAGGATGGTTAAGCTGTTTAATTCAGTCATTTTAAATTGAAAATATATTTTCTTTGTTCCAGAAAAATTCCCACATTCATAGAGAGTGGTTAGTAAATGCTCATGAAATTCATGGAGCAGTGGCCAAAACATCTCTAATTCAAGCCAGAGAAATAAACAAAAATGGGATTTACATTATCAAAATGCTTCCTCAAAGTTTGGTAAGTATCTGTTGTGTTAATTCTGATACTACATACTGCCAAGTGAATAAATCTGGCACCAATGCACTTGTTTCTGTTTGTGCTGCCATTCTTACTAATCCCATTGTTATTCAAACTGATACTTTATCCGTTATTAGTTTATCCAAGTCTTAATTCTGTGCAAGCCAGTTATGTCTTTGTTTGAGCCTTACAATGATAAACAGCTTCACACAAACTGTCACAGGGTTCTCCAGACAGCTGACACTCCTTGATTCATTCTCCAGGGACACCCGCTTGACACAACTAGATTTGGTTAAAAAGAATGCCAGCTGTTATTTAATCTGCCACTTCATAATTTTGCTGCCTACTGATAACTGATTTCTGATTCTGTTTGAGTATTGCAAACCTGATTATTGTTGATGGTGTACCTCAGTTACCAGTGTATCCCATCCAATGTCTTGATCTGTTAAATGACTGTTAATTTATTTATATCTTCATTCTACCCATTATGTCCTTAATACGTGCCATTCAATTACCCTGCCTTGTTTTTTTCTAGGCTTCTCTGGAAAACTGTATCTCCCTTCGAATTAAGGAAAGTATTGCAGATCATAAGAGGGAAGACAAGGGATCAGACCAGACATACAAAACATACAACCTAGCTGAACTAAAAGAACTGCAGAATAAACTTATGTTAATCAAACTGAGTGGTGAGCAGGGAAGAGATGACATTGTGAGATATGTAGAGGTATGTCACTGTGGCGTTCTGATGTATATATTATATACATCATAATCAGGTTATAATATTGTAATGGATATTAAAATTCTGAAATATTGTCTTTTTCAGAGAAAATATATCAATACATTTTCATTCAGTATGAATAGATGTAACAGATTTGATTGGTGCCTTGTTTAAGTCTCCCGAAAATCTAGATTTTTTTCTGTCCAACCATGCATCTTCAAAAATAAATAATTTTTATTTTTAATATATATAACTTGGATGGAATAATCTTGGTGAAATCTTGGTGTTAGTTATGGAATGAGATTGTGATTCTAAAGAGCCAATTGAATGTAACTCATATTTCTGTTTTAATTTTTCCTCCAGGTTTTAGAACAAGTTTTACTTATAGGAGACATGATCCTTAAACTCTTTGATGCTGGAGATGTCTTGTTCATGGACTGGTCTTTTACAGCATATTGTAATCCTGACCATGATGTAAAGGTACTCCTTGAATTTGGCATTGCTGGAATGACTATCAGTGGACACAAGGACTTGCTAGAGGAGCTGAAAGATGTTTGTCGTGGCATGCAAGACTGCCTTGAAAAGTGGAATGAATACCTGCAACATCACAGGAATAAATATTATTATCTGAATTACTTCAGTGCCAAACAACTAGTAAATTTGTGTTCCGTCATACCAAAGGTACAGCAGAAAATAGAAGTTGGATGTTCAGTGCTGAACATGCTCTCTTTTATAAAGGAGAACATTACTGAAGCAGATTTGTTTGACTCTTTCACGAAAGCACTACAAACTCCAGTTGAAGTTGGTGGTGCAAACATGTCACTTGAACTTCGATATTACCTTGTACATTTCCCAAAGCTAATTGATGAACTTAAGGTAGCTGGTTTTTCTGAGGATCAAGCAAAAGCTTCAGTAATGTACTGCAGCCAAAATGCCATGGACAGAGAAACAGCATTGGATGAAGACGCCGTGATGAGTTGTATCTATGATCATGTGGATGATGATGAATGGGTGAAGATATGGAGTGGAAAGTATGAGGAAGACAGAGAACATGTTCTTCAGAATCAATTGAAGTTCAAAGTGTCACCTTCTCAGAAGCAGGTTTTGGCTTCTTTTGAAATGTCAGAAGAGGAGGCATCTATGATGTTCAAAAGTTCATCTTCCTGCCAGGAGAAAATAGTGATGCTGTGGGAAGCATACAGCAAAAGATTGGCTGGTTTTGTTTCAGAAAAATATGTGGGGCTAGACATAGTGGGTGAAACCCTTAATTTGCTGGCAGAAACTGAACAGATCTCTGTGGAGAGGAGATTTCCTTTTTACCTTGAAAAGTCAAAGCCAAATCTTGTAACATGCAAAGATGAGGATATGCTGCCACTTTGTTTATCTATATATGATGATGAGAAGCAGCCTCTGCCAACCTATGATGAAATTTTGATATGCACTTCAGAAACACCTGCAGAAGAAATTGAACTGATTATTCGAAGGGCAATTCAATCTGGATGCAAACATGACAAAATCTACTGTATCTTAAATGCAGATAAACTGGATCATGATGTATCTAGAAAATTAGAATTCTACTTCTATCAAGTGTCCCAGGAGCTAAGTGACACACAGTCAAAAGAGTACAGGTTGATCATTTTCTGTAGTTCTGCCGCTCAACACAGTTATGTTTTAACAGCTTTTTATGAATACAGAAAAACAGAACAGTCCTACTCCATAGAAGACATTCAGAAATACCTGAAAGAAAAATTGAAACTATCCAGCAAAAGTGGGTTTGCAGAATTTATTGTACCAAAGCAGTTCCAGCAGAACACAAAATTGATTTCTTCTGAAGGAGCAGGGATGGGTAAGTAACATGCTTCACTATCTATAAGAATACAGTGATGTTGATACATATATTGCTTGCTGTTCTACTGACAGTAATGTTCAAGTTTGAGCAGATGTGAAAAGTATATTTGTTTTCCCTGGACTTTGGAGAATATGTAGGTTTTTAGCATTGGTCCACTGCCACTGAAGACAGTTTGGTATGTAGGCTGATAACTTAAAACTGTTTGATTGAAGCATTGTATGGGTGGGAAACTAAAACTGATTAAATTATGAGAAGATTACCCCAAAACTGAAGCAGCACTGCATGGGCAGTTTTGACACCTGATCCCATTAAGAAGATAACTCAAAATCTGGAAATGATTAAATTTTGAGGCAAAATTGAAGTGGTGCCACTTAGTGGCAGCAAAAGGAAGGGTGAATAGATGATATGAGATGTTGCTGCATTCACCACACGACAAACCACCTCAGGAATGAGAACGTGAGTGCAGCCCAGGGCCAGGTGATACCTCAGCAACAAGTCTTTTCCTGGTGGCTGGAGTGTCAGTCCTGCCACCAACCCCCGAATTATCCCTGGAAGTTGGAGGACCTGCCACAAGCATATATCAAGATCTGTGCATACTAGCTCTGATATCCCAACCCATTGTAGAGAACCCTGTCAGGGATGTGTTACAGGTGCACACATTCAAGTACCACTACATTCTAGTGACCAAGTGGTACACACCAATAAACTCAGGTATCACAAAATACCCTGAAAAATATCTAACCATAGAGTATGGTAGAGACTAACATCTGTGGCATTCCATTTTCAGTTTCGGTGGATTTCTAAATATTAGGTAAGCAGGGGTTCACAAAAATTTAGGCTAATAAAAATCTAAATGCTAAATGTGCAAAATGATTTGGTTTGTTCTTCTATCCCAAGTTATGGTTTAAATGCAATGAGGCTGCCACACGTTATATCGGCTCTAGGGCAATGCACTCCTATAGCCACTGAATTATGTAACACAGTCAAGCAAACTTTATAACCTGTGTCAATGAGCACTGCATTGCCTGAATATTAGCCTAAATGTGTATCATATATTACAGAAGAAACACTTGAAAATAAATTAGACTTATTGACTGGCTCCTGAAATTAGGAATTGTAAATCAACTGACTTAATGAGTATCATAAGCTGTGGTAGAAAAATTATAAATCAAGGACTTAGAATAAAAGTCTGGACCTCTTAGTTTGGTGAGTAAAGAAAATCTCTTTTATTCCAGCAAGTTCAGCAAAGCACTCCCATCACACTTGGTACCAAGTCCCACCCGGCACACAGAGCAACCAGTAGATAAACCATAACTCCCAGGACTTCTAAGTCCTGATTGGTCATGAAACATCAACAAACTAAGCTGAAACGTATAACAAACACAATTCTCCTGCTCCATTGGTTCACTTTGGTAGCAAGGTAAAGTCCACCCATTGTACGGAACTTACTGGAGACAGCCTCGGATTCTAGACTCTACATGAGATATGTATATAGATATTAATTATATGACATTGAATCACTGTTAATGTTTGGGTGTTCCATTGATTAATGATTAACACATATTAACATATGATTAGTATGATTAACATAAGTATGATTAGCATGATGCGATCAATTGCATATAACATATTATATATTGACTACTACTATTCTATTAAGCTATAACTCGTTGTGCACCAGTGGGGGTGGCTTCGAGTCTCTTCCTGCAATGGTTTCTCCCCCCCTTTGCTCCACTGTCTGCCCCTCCAAGGTCTGAGCTCCTGCGGAGCCACCTGCAGGCAGCTAGCACAAAGCGAGGTCACACAGTATTCAAAACAATCTCTTCTGGCCTAAGGCCTAAGACATAACAGAACCAATATGCCTCCCCTCCCGGGCCTACTAATGTCCAATTTTACTTCCACAAAGCTTAATTAAATGAACTCTGGGACATTGCAGTTCATTCCACATGAAAAGTTACAACTTAAGCTAAATCCACTTAAATCTTTCAGAGTGTTCAACAACACACTGAAGTTTAAGCAACTTCCATCCATCCAAACTGAACTTTTAAACTTAAATCATTTGAGGCAACTAATTCCCTTATCTGTTTTGAGTAAACTCAACCTAGCAGGGTTTGCAGTGTAGATGAGCTTTACCTTAATTTATTTTAAATATTTAAATTTCCTAAAACTCAGTATACTTTTTATACAATTTATCCCATTATACCATTTTTTCTATGTGGTATAATAACAGTAACATACAGTAAAGTAGATTGCAGTAGATGAAATATAAAACTGACAGTGAACTACTGGCAGCCCTGCTGCCAGTAGTTTACTGTTAATTTATATGACAGTTTTTTACAGTGTATCTATCTTTGTGGGGACTTTCCATTCATATCTATGAACATAATGCTAATCCCATTATTACTTTAACTATGGCATCGCACCACTGTCAAAACTAGAGGGCGATAAAACATGAAGTAAGAAGTTTAATTCTGCAAGTTTTAACATTTCATCTGCATAAATATGCCACTTGTGAGCGCAAATGTGAAACTCACAAGCACAGAGATAAGAACTGCATGCATGTCATAACATCACACTCAAACTGCTTATATGTTTTTATATAAACATATAGAATATATAAATACAACCGACAATTCTACATTACAAGTTTCCCAATCGTGGTTTCAATATATCGCAGGGTCGACATAATAGATTAAATGGGAACTTTTTGGGAGTTTAGCGAAAGCAGCAGATGGCAATCAAAGGCCAGCAGTTTAGTACAGTAACTCATAAATGCATAAAATTTATGGACCGTGCTGCTCTGGAGGACGCCAAGCGTGTTTATGGCAGACCCTCGTGAGATATGCTGCAGTGATCATTGTATCTCATGATTCTCGTATCTTTTCGCATCACTTCTCTTGCGTACTCACTTGCTCGCCAAGGGGACCAAAAAGTTTTTTCCAAATCACAGGGGGGTGGGGGGCCCTAAGCCCCCCACAATGTGTGGAGGAGTCACCTGTAATATAAATGACATTTTCAAACATGGACTTTAAAACATGTACTGGGGAATACAAGTCACCACCTATTTGTTGAGGAAAGATTCTGGAAATAGTCATATAAGTGTAAAGTGCAATAAATGAAAAAATACACTTTCAGACTTATGTCATGACAAGGTTACGGAACATTCAGGTAAAAGTACATTTATTAACTTTCACATTTCTTGGTGATCCATTCAATACTTCAATTAATTGTACAAGTTGGCGAATGTAGGACAAGTACAGATTGGATGGACACCACGTGACAGGGCTGTCTGGGGATGCCTTGAGAATTGCCTTTAGCTGTGACAGGAACCAGATTAAGAGTAGGTGATAGGACATAAACTGTCCATAGGATATTTAAATAATCTTATTTATATGCAGTTTAACAGTGAGACATTTTCATTTTCTTACAGGAAAATCATTATATGTAAAAAATCTTCTGGGACAATGTAAAGAAAAACTAAAAGAGCAAGGATTCACCTATAAAACAATCCGTCTAACAGAAAGAAAACTTATAATAGATTGCTTACAAAATATATTGCAACAATATGAGGACAAGCCCACAGACAACATACCAAGAATTTTTCACTTTGATGTACCGCCTGTGGTATGTACATTTATGTAAAGATGTGTGTCTGTGGATATACGTGTAACAGCTAATGTGACCTATGCTGACCAGCATGCTGGTGTCTGCTGCTATATTTCCAATGAATAATTAATGTGAGTTGCCCCAGCAGCAGTGCACTTTACATTATTAGTGTATTCATAGAGAATTTTTTTTTATCTATTCATGCCATTAACAGGTTTCCAAAGGCTTGTACACATTCCTGGTCCAAGTCTTTGTTCTGAGATGCTTCCACGGCTCTGACGGGTCCATCTGGAGGTGCAAAGATACTCATCTTTACCTTGTTGAATACACACAAAGAAAATTCAGGGAGTGCGACAGACTAAACTCTGAGGTATGGTGCATACACTTGCAACAAGTTTATTGTTAGATTTTACAACACGTTTTTGCCTAATGATATACATTTTTAAGTATTTCAGATTTTCAGTTCTGTTTTTCATTGAATTTTAACTATAATAAATAATCAAATTGCTTGCTGCCCTTTTTTATTATTATTTGTAATGGTGATGTGTTTTATCTAGCACTGCTTGGCACACATAATAAAGCTGGCTTTGAAGTGTGTCAGCAGCTTAACTTGTCTTGGTACCATGTAACATGTTTATTAGTTGAAATACTAGAACTCGTGGTCATAAGTGGAAATTAGCGGGAGAACATTTTAAAACAAATTTGAGGAAGCACTTCTTTACACAGCGTGTAGTTAGAGTATGGAA